CCATCAGAAAATTATTTTGGTTTTTTGATTGGTTGGGGGGTTTTTTGAATTTTTTTTTAAACTTGAGTAAGAGCATCTAAAATTTTCAGAAGAGCCACAGTCCTCTCTTGTTGTAAAGTAATTGTGGTGATGTGGCTTCTATTTTTGAGTTGGATTTTGTTGGGGGGGTTCTTTGTTTATTGGATTGGTTTTTAAACAATGTAATTGTTTTCTTAACTTCTGCTTGTCTTTACAGCAAAAAATTAAGGGTAAACATCAATGTGCCAATGAAGACTGAACAGAAGCAGGAACAAGAAACTACACACAAAAATATAGAGGAAGATAGGAAACTACTGATTCAGGTGAGTTGTATTGCAGAATGTTGCCATGATCTCAGAATTACAGCTTTGTAATCCTTTAATGAAGCTCCCTGTATGGTTCTCTTAACTTTTATTAGAAGATAACATGCGATTGCAGTGCACTGTGTTAAGAGTTAAAAATGTGTTTAAAATGCTCTTAAAGGTGATTGGAGTCTGTAACAAAGTGGGGGAAGGCATTTCTGCAGATAGAACGTGTTCTTCACACTTGTTCTAACCTGATGTCGATAGCGTTGGGGTTCCATGGATGCACACGCTCACCAGACCTTGTCCTGGGTGAAAACTAATAATACTCAAGTAGTATGAAATCTACTGTGTTTTTATATCATTTCATTCAGAATCCACCTGAGAAGCAAAGAGGCAGGGGGAAGGAAATACACATGTGCTACTAAGAGAGCATTACAGTAAAGTTAAATATACAAAGGCGGCTTTTTGTTACATGAGTAACTACTTATTGCTCTTGGTACCAAATGGTGCTATTGGTAAGACCGACCATAATTACAGATCTTAAAATTCATCTGTCAAAGCCATTCCTAATGCCTGTGTGCTGTGTAGAACCTGGGTTCTTACAGTCTGCCTGAGTAGCTGACATCTGTGGGCACACTTCTCCCTGTCTGGGACTCAGGTTTGTTGTGATGGTGCTTCTGCACAAGCAGATGCGATCTGCTGGGGAAGTTATCTCTTAAGTGGCATTATCCAGGACAAGTAGTTTGCTCCTAAGCACACCTTTCCCACTTTGCCTGTGCAGGCTGCTATTGTGAGAATCATGAAAATGAGGAAGGTTCTAAAACACCAGCAACTGCTTGGAGAAGTGCTAACACAGCTGTCCTCAAGGTTCAAGCCACGAGTTCCTGTAATTAAGGTATGTGAGAACCCTATCTCTGTACCTGTGTTCCAGGAGGTGAGGAGTATATATATATATAGACAAAGCACATGCTTCTGAATTAAAAAGGAAAGCTAAGGAGATGGGATGGGTAAAGACAGGTTTTTTTGAGTTTTAAGTAAGTAGGAAATGTTTTAGTCAGAAATACTGCATGTCTCTTAGGGTAATATGCATGTTTGACATTGTTGGCAGAGGTAAAATAGTAGCTTGATTAAATCTTCTCACATCAGTGCCAGCTTACTGTAGCCTTTGCTCCAGGCTTACTGTTTGTTCCTGCTCTCCCAGTGGTGAGAGTGCAGCCAGCCTTCGGGTTGGCTTGATGAAACAGCTTCCTGATCTCTTTCAGGATAAAAATGTCGGGATGGGAGGCACTGTATGTAATTATTTACCAATAATTGTATTGACTATATAATTACTAATTAACGTGCGTTAATTTCTTCATCAGTTTGTTAAAGTGGGCTCGCCGGTGTTTTTTACCTACGCAGCCAAGGGGGTGGGTGGGGCAAAGAACAGGCAGTGGAGAGCAGCTCCATAAACTGGCACCGGTGCCGAGATGCTCCCGCCCGGTCAGGCAGTGCCCCAGGCAGCTCCTCAGTGCAGCTGCTGTGTGTGGTGCCCCCACAGTGAGCACTCTGCACCTTGGTTTGATTCTCCATTTGCTGTCTTACTGTGAAGCTGCTCAGCATACAGATGATGGGCTGATCTCGCAGTTACTTACCTGGAATGGCATCAAGTAGGTATAATTCAGTTAAGTGGATTAGCAAAGTCCTCTCCTTGGACGTGGTCGGAAACAGGAGAGCGAATTGCCGTGGTTTGTGCCTTTTGCCGACTCCCGTCCTCGGCCTGGCAGGGAACTCCCTCGGGGGCCAAAACCCCTCAAAGTTTGTAGCAACCACAGCGAGGGCTTTTCTGCCAGTGTCCCACCACTGACCTCTGTTCCTCCCGCAGAAATGCATCGACATTCTCATTGAGAAGGAGTACTTGGAACGTGTAGATGGTGAGAAGGACACCTACAGTTACTTGGCTTAACATTTTTATTAGCAATTACTTGACTGTGTGACACTCGGCAAATAGGTATGTGATGGAAAGGATGAAAGTGACAGAACTTCATAGCAGCCACCCTGCTGCCATTTGGACCTCCCTTTTTAATAACTGAGACCAGGACTCCCATCAGCCAGTCTCAGATTTACATCAGAACTGCTCAGGATTGATACATTTCAAGTATGTAAATATGGACACCAATGCCATTTAACCTAACTTAAGAACAGAAAGGAATCAAACCCTTCTCCTTTAAGGGTTGCATGCTACTGCATTTAAATCAATACATTGGCTATATGATAAACAACTGCCGTCACAGGCAGTACTTATACATGTTGGCAGCACTTGGAGAGCGAGTCTGAATGGACCCATGTGTAATCTGCTATGAAAAACCATTTGTATAGTGTGTTTCATTTTTTAATGTGTGATAAATAATAAAAAAAAAAAATTAAAAGATTTCTGTACAAGTTGCATTTGGTTTTATTGTTTTAAGTTTCATGACTTATCTTTCTAAATGTAAATAAAAGGTATAATGGTTATGAAAGCTCTATTAGAAATTCGTTTTGCTTTTCCTCCCTGTTTTCTGGTGATTTAAGCACATTTTGTTCTCTGAAGAAATTGTCATCTATCATCATCTGTGCATGTTATTTCTTTTTTGAGAGGAAAGGTCTGCACTTTGAAAATAAAAGGAGGTTGTGATGATTTCACAAGACCTGCAGAATAGAAAATACTTACGATAGACGTGGCAATCCTTGGTCATCTGAAATTGGAGCTGTTTTTAATATTGCTCAGTGTGCTATAAAATGCATCACACTTGCTTAAGTGCTGCCTGGAATAAATGAGGTTTAGGCTGCCTGTTTCTTTGGCTAGAACAGATAATTGAGTGTGTTCCTAAAGATTAATTCCCATTAAATGCAACCTGTGATGGGAATTAAAATACTTTTGAGTGTTACTACACATACATGGGTTGGCCAGGCTTCATTCCATTCTACTCACAGTGTTTTGTGAAATGAGTATTGGCTTTCCACATGTTACAAGCAAAATGCTGCCATCCTCACAAGTCTCATTTTTGGTAATTTGTATTTTCTAATCATGATGGTGAAGAGAACTTTACTTCTGCAGCCAAACCCTTTTTTCCTTTCAGAATTTGTGATTTGTTCGGTGTTTCTTCTCACAGGAAGATAAAGGAGCCAGGTTTGGTGTTGCTGTTTTTCTGTGGAGGGAAACTAATGGCTACAGCTGAACTCTGACCTAAAAAAAATTTTTGGGTTTAAAAAAAAAAAAAAAACTAATGGAACCATATTAGATGTGATCCAAAGTGATTTGGAAAAGCCAGGGGAACGTTCATCTGCACTCGAGATTTTGTAGGCTTGCAATTCATGTTCTGAATTAATGTTAATTGTACTAAAGCCTGCCAGCATGGGGACTACAAGCACCTTGCTGTTCAGTTTTAAAATTGCTTTTGGAAATTTAGAAGAGTGGAGCTTGAGATGCTTTCAGGGATGGCTTTTTTTTTTTTTTTTTAATAGTAGTAACAGTAGTAGTAGGATATACTGCGTTGCTTTTGTAAACAGTTTTTGCAGAAAGTTCAGGGCTAGTAGATTTTTGTTTTTCTGTCATCATAACCACTCTTAAATCCTGCTACAAACAGCCTGAATGTTGTTCTCAGTTGGAAGGCCAGAAATTACCTGCTCCAAGCTGCCTTGGCTGGTTAAAGCAGTACTCTGTATGCTGTCCCTGCAGCGTGAAACCAAGAGCCATGCTCTACCCAAGCATGGAGAAAATAAGTAAGTTTTCAATGTTTGGACTTTTTTTTTTTTTTTCTCTCATGAATTCTCAGTTCTTAGGGCAGTGCAGAGCAGGAGAGCTTGCTGTATGTGAGTGTGGCAGCATGTGCTGAACTCATATGAGCCCTGGGTGCAAGAAGGTGCACAGCCATCAGGGGCAGGATTTCTTGAAATCAGTTTTGCAATGTGTCCCTGTGCCTGCCCTCCCCCTCCTCCAGCTGTTTTGACTAGAGCACTGTGTTCTATCCAGCAGTAGGCTGCAGAGTTCACACTCCATGGGCAAATAAGAAATAAGCCTGTGGTAGCCCTGTGTGAGACCCAAACAGACTAAATCATTTTGGATGAAAACATATATTAAAAAATTAAAAGATGCAGAAGAAACGTGTGTATGTCATTACTGTTGCACTTGTTATTTAGTTGATACTTCAGAGATGCCACTGCTCTTGTACCACAGCTTTGCCTTGAAAGTAGCATTTGTCACAGAACTCACAGCTATTCTGGTTCTTGTTCCCTTCCATTAAATTCTTCTTCTGGTAATGGAGAGACCGCTTGTCCAATGCCACTCAGCAGAAGTGGAGAAAGACTAAAAAGAATGCAGTGCAGCTGTTCTGTGACCACAGGTTACATGTAGGGGCTAAGAGGATGGAGGAGGTGAATTGGAGGAGTTTCTCAGCTGTAGATTACTCTATAGAGAACATGAATGTAGCTGCCATGCCAGGGGAGCACAAAAACTGGAAGACCTTGACTGTGAGGTGCTGCAGCACCACCCTTAACCTGACTGATGTCTCCTACAATGTCTGAATCTTCACATGAACCTTATATGTGGCCTAGAGTAACAGTATCAAGAGAGGACAAGGGTGGAGCTGCCTTTGCTGGGAAGTTACAAGTTAAATTCACATTGCTTCCTCAACTGGCTGACACAAAATTCCAACTCAGTTCCAGTAAAAACGAAGAAGTTCAAGTATCCTTTATTCAAGGTTGAAAAATGTACCACACCACATTATTGCAAAAGTTCATAGGTACAAAACACTTCGCAGCTGGTGAGAAGGCAATAAAAAGTTGTTTGTTTTTCTTAAATTTGTTACTATAAATTACTGTTACAGTACTTTGCAAATACATAATTTCAAATTGCATCATTTTTATTTTTCTAAAATTGCCCACAGTACTAGAAATTCCTGAAGATAAGGCAGCTGTTTGTTTAAAAGAAGAGGTAGCTGGTGTCAAGGGATTTCCATTTCTCTTTCAATGCCCACATACTTAAGGGCATCAGCTTGGCTATATCTGAAATTAAAAAAAAAAAAAAAAAAAAGGTAACTAAAAACCAGGACCACAGAACATTTCAGCTTCATTGTTCTGACATGACAGAAGCCAAGAATACTCAGATTTCCCACAGTTTCCTCACCAAGCTGAGGCCTTTCCTCCTCGTGTGAATTTGCAGGTGCACAACAATGCTGACCACTCCAGAAACTACTTTTAGAGGAGTTTGATTAAGAGGAAACAAAATTCCAATAAAATTCCACACTTCTTCACCTTGAATGTCACAAAGCTGAAGCTCATTTTAGCTAGTGGAAAGCAACTGCATTTCTGAAGGTTGACTTGCACAGTATTGGCAGTGGACAGCTTAGTTTTTCTTCAAGTGGGATGATTTTAGAAGAAAGTGTGAACACACTCTCAGCAAGCACTTTCTATAATAACATCTTCTTGCCCATTTCTGAGTGATGGGAGAGTCAGTCAGTCAGTCACTGTACTAGTACGAGGGAGCCCTACCAGTTACACTCTGTTGTACAGGTCTGTCCCCATTTTCCAGTAAACTTTGCTCTATACAAGCTGCTGTTTCAAGTTTGTTCAAGTCAGTATTACTCTGATATCTGGCTTAAAAAAACAACACAGGGTGGCAGTTCTGCTTCGCAGCTGCTGAGACCTGAAGTTGCAAGGACCAGGCAGGTGGAGTAATTAACTATGAGCTGAGCAGAGATACTGAAAGCTACTGCAGTCTATGACACAAAGAAATGACAAAATCCATCTACCCACCTGTAGTCAAAGAACAGTTCTTCACCAGTCTGAATGGCTCTTTTAGCAAATATTCCTATTCTGTGATCACCATTAACCATCATAACTGTTTGAAAGAAATTTAAGCTTATGTTAGTACAAATACTGATAAAGTGTGCATGCTACATAAGTATCTCACAACATTTCATACGTTGCTGAAAAGCAAGTAAATTTAAAACTTACCTTTTGCATAGCAGTTGGGATTTACTGAATGGTTTGCAAATCTAATTTTGTTGCCCTTGCGTGTTGCATCAACCACAAAATCTAGGGGGGCGGAAAAAACAACAAAACCCACAAATGATGGAGAGTCACCTACAAACAAGTTTTTGTGTTTAATGCCTAGTGTGCTTGGATTTTAACAGCTTCCTACATGGAAGAACTGGCCCATCATCCTAAAATAGATGTACCATTCTGCAAGACAAAGTATTCCTGCTGCTCCACACTGTGCTCTCCCTTCTTGCCACAGAGGCACTACCTTAGTTTCTCATTTGAAGCTTCTATACCTTTATTCCACAAGGACAAGCTCCATAAATATGCTAAGCAAATACTGGCATGAAGCAGCAGATTTCTCCTCCTTTCAACTATTTTCTGGTATTTTATTCTTGACACTGCACTCTGTATTTTTATCTGCTAGGGGCAGTAGCCACATAGCACATATCTGTGTGTCTTTCCTTCCCCCCCAACATCGTTACCATCACCACTTACTGGCTGATTTAAGTCATAATAAAATTATTGCAGGCAATACCTGGCAAGCCTTTTTAAATTATGCCTGCACATAATTCTGCTCCATGAAATTCAGCTTCTACTCATCTTGTGTAGTTACTTGTGTAATAGGCTCCATCACTACATCTAGTTGACTAGCATTTAGGAAAAAAAAAAATAAAACATTAGCTATCCAAACTGATCGGGAAAGATGCAGAAAAAATATCTCAGTGTTACCTGCTGTCTGCAAAAGAACAGGGCTGAACAAAATGGTGAGCATACATACTTCATCTATGCTGAAAGGGTTGCAAACTAATGCATACATACCATTATTCAAGTTAAACAGAAAGCTGCACATGTATTTGTCGTACACTTTTCCTCTTCTGTCTGCCTCATCCTGAGAAATAATCTGAAAGAAATTAGCACTTTTATGAGAGAGATGAACTCTTCCCTTTTGCAACCATAGCAGCTTAAGGTCAAAAACCCCAGACATTCTGAGAGACAGGTGGAGGAATTTTTATTCTCTGGGATTGAAAGTATTCCCAAACATAAAGTGTTGGTTTTGGCAAGCATTCTGCACTTACAAAACGTTCACCGTTTGCTCTCAGCATAAATAAATCCTTTCAGAGCAGAAGAAAAGCAGGAATTGCTTCTCATCTCACAATCAAGACTGCATACCTAATTCAGGGTTCTATTGCTACAGAATATAACTTAGTGGAAGCACCTACTGACTTTTAGTACTGTACTTAATGATTTGGCACAAAATTCCAAGCATGTCTGAACTGAAATTACATCTAAGATAAAAATGACATATAAGCATCTCATTCTCACAAGAACCTACTTCAGATTTTTTGTGACATTTCAACTGTGCAGCTCCTGGGTTTTGAGCCTCTGACACCAGTGTCTGTCCACTTAGTCAATCACATCACTCTGTCTAAACATGATTACCAGGTTACAGACAATCTGTTGGTCCCTGTCAACAGAGAACTTCACCAACTAATCTCATACATAACGAGCATTCTTCATCCTTACCTCACCACAGTATTCAGAGATGAATTCATTCTTCTGTACAGGATCTTTAATAAAAATTCCCCAGCCTGCCACATCTGAAGGTGCCAATAGTAAGTGCTGTGGGGCAGAGAAAACCAAAAATGTAGACATGCCTGGCTTAGTTTGAGTTCAGGGGATTTTTCCATTTTGTTTTGTATCACTTTATGAAATGCATATGTTGGGACTCCAGGAGAGTAGACAAACACAGATTCTTCTAGTTATCAAATGCACACTAAAATTACATCTTGTGGATCAGAAGATGTATGTAACAGAAAAACGACCTCAAGTACTTCAAAACCATTAAAAATTTTAGTTTAACCCGGAAAAGAGGGTGTTACATAAAAACACATTTACTAAAGACTTCAACCTAGAAAGATCTGCGAGAGGTGGTGTTCCAGAGTAGAGATAAACTTTGGTTTATCGATTGATTGATTTACCAGAGCTGAATGGGCTTTTGAGGTATCTTCAGTAGACTATATACAAGTTTGTGTATTAGAATCAACAACTGGATAGAGAAACAGCCGTTCTGAGACAAACTCCCTTACACTGATCTAGGGAAGGGCTGCTGAGGTATCTCTTTAGAACAGCAGCCTATTTGCACATTACAAGTGAAGCCTGACTGGGGGGAAAGGAGATACTCCACTGCAGTGCCACACAGAAAACACTAATTGGTACATGACAGAACGTAGACAGAGTTTAACAAGAGCACATAAGCAAGCTAACAAGTGACAGCTACCACCCTTGTCGTTTTGTTTGGTTTGGGGTTTTGGTTTTGTTTTCATGTTTGACAGCACTGAGGCAAAGAAATTCCATTTGCTGGCTCAAAAATACAGAACCACCTCAGAAGCCAGGTAATAGGCACGTAGTTGTGAAACTATGGGCATACTTTTTTGGATCCTCTCTGAATGCTGCAGTTCTTGCAGGAGACATTTTTGCTGTCCCAGTGGTCAGCTGCTCCGCAGGTGAGACAGAGGTCAGGATCACACTCACGCACAGCCAGGTAACACGGGCACTGCTTGGTGTTGCACTGCGCTTTACAGCGGCATCCAGGAAACCGGTTTTGGCCTACAATGGAATAGACGGAAAAGAGCAGGTGTGAGAAAAGTACAGTGTAAAATTAAGACCGTGCAGATTATGGCATACCAGAATATTAGTACATTAATAGTAACACAGCCACTGATATCTGTATAGAACATTCAGAAGTGCTGTAAATTCATTCCTTTCCTGATTTTAGTCTTCCTCAATTTCAAGTCTGAAGACTCTTTCTGACTTCATGCAATGGCTAATTACGAGGGCCAAATTAAACTGAACACATGCTCACAGTATCTGATACAATTTGCTGCTCCTGCAACACTGTCTGCAGTACCCAGTGACTGCTAGTACGGAGCTAGAGGGTGGGACAAGGAAAGAAGTTTATAGGTTACTTTTAAATGTTTTACTTACATTCTGAGCTGCACTGACAAAACTTCTCACAGAAGTTTTGAGCAATTACACATGGGCATGAGCTATCACAAGGCTGACGTGGGTGATCACATGGCTGATAGTTGTAAACATGATTCGATGACCCATCTGAATAAAAACAGCAACATTTTGTAAAGCTGTAAGTTGCAAACAAACAATACACAATTCCCCTCACTCTTCAAGGTAAAAATTCCCTTTTAGTCATTTAAGAAAGTCCCAAACATGAATAAAAAACTCAAACCTACAAATGAGTGGGGTTAAAAACCTGAGAGACACCTAACCAGAACTGTAGCATTAGTGAGGTGTTTTACACCATTAGCTGCTGCTTTCTAGTGCACTTTATTCTACCCATTAATCATCTGCTTTGATATTCAGAGCTGAAAGCTCTTTACTGTGGAAAACTGAAAAATGAAACTACAATGGTATAATTTCCTGTGTGAACATGTTCTAGAACAGCACAGATATTATTCAGCAAATAAATTTGATCAAATACTTAAAGTAATTTTTAATGTGGAACAACAGTCACCTTTCAAGCAGGTTAACACTGGCAACATAATACCTGGTTATTATACCACTGTGCTTTCCCAAGTCAATTTTCCAGTACAGACAATGCTGAAGTCTTCTAGATGAGAAAGGAAATATCAAGGACAAGTCTAGAGCTTTACCTACAGAGCAGCTAGGAAAATTTGGTGCCATATAAATTATATTTGCTATTAATACTCCTGAGCTTGTGTTGGGTTTGCATGAATTTGTAAAAGTGCTCAAGTTAGCAATCAGCAACAAAAAAGGAGAGAGACAAACTGATCAATTATTTATGTTGCTAGAAGTCCCAACTATTCTAACAAATTTTCAGAGAACTATTTCTAAAATAAGCTGGTTTTTTAGAAAAACCCACAAAAGCACTTTTTACCATAGTTCCAATTGTTAATACCATTTTTATCTGTATTTCAATGAGGCCATACTGAAAAGATTGTAAGCTCAGCCTCCTTCCCTTTTAATTGAATTATACAGAGCTCTTCCAATTATGTAAACCAAAGACTACCTTTTGTCCCTACAATATCTGTAATGAGAGCTTGCTTTTTTTTAATCTTTTTATTCCCCAATGATCTCTAGCTCCCCACAGAATGTATATAATTGCCTAAGATTAAAAGAAGAAAAAAAAAAAAAAAAAAAAAAAAAAAAAAAAAAAAAAAAAAAAAAAAAAAAAAGCCACAAACACAAAACCCCCAAAAAACAAAACCAAAAAAGCAATAGTAGAATCTTAAAAGTTCAGGACATAAATTGAATGGAAAGATGCTAACCCTTTTTCAGCTGTATCTTTCTGCAATGAGCAGCCCACAACCTGCAAAAACACAAAACAAAACAAGAAGGTTGACAGGAACTCCTCCTGCAGTGGGCTGGGAAAGGGAGCTGCATCTTGCACCCACATTTAAGTTAAGATGGGAAAGTTTCTGGTAATATGAACATCTGCCAACTGCACACAAGTCAGAGGTGGCTTATGCAGAAATACCCTGTCCCAGTCTCTTGGAGCTGACAGGACCAAAGCTCTGCAGGCTGCTCCCCACCTCCCCACACCATTCCTCTAGTTCCAGAATTGTAGACATGAGCAGTCCCCACCCAGCCCAGGCTTGAGAAATGCTGAAATTCTGATGGCCTTGAAGGAAAACCTGCCAAGAGCAGGCTGCTGGAGCTGCTTCTAGCAGGCAGAAGCAGCAGCAGAAGGAAGGACACGGAATTGCAGATATGGAGGGTGATGTCTAAATAGGGGAGTGAAAGTCTGACGGCTGTTTCCCTCACAGGACTCGGCCCCAGCACAGCACTGGTTGTTGTCTACAGATCACAGCCAAGTCCTACCCTTCACCTGGTGAGCTCCAAGTATGTGGACAACAGGTGATGATGTCTGTCTGGCACAGCCAGGGTGATGTGGCCTCAGTATTATTCTATTTCTGGCCGGACAGACTTTTCCCCATTTGTTCTGGCTGGTGGTACTGCACTAAGCCTTTTCCCTTCTACTTCAAACTCTCTATGCCTTTCTCTTATGTCCTTACAGTTTTCCTTCAGTGTCCCCTTTCTCAGTCAGCTTAGCTAAGCACACCTTTTGTTGTGTGATGGGTTTTCTTTTCGGATTTGTTGTTTTGTTGGGTTAGAGTTGTTTTTGTTTTTTTTTTTTTTTTAAGAATAACATGCTTTTGGTTACAATAACATGACTCACTACACTTTAACAGTCTCAGAAGTTACAATTACCCCTTTATTTTGTATCCATTTCAGATTGCAAGCTCTTTGGTAGGGAATGTTAACTATTCCATAAACAGCATGTCAGACACAATCAAGCATAAACAACTGTCTGGACCTTAGGTACCTAAAAGGAAAACGAGACTTTTGATTTCAGTAGCCTTAAAATTAAAGGAGAAATCAATGGTTTTATTTATTTCTTCACTTCTATGCATTTTATAGTTAGCGCTTGTACTTCAGTGAACACACATAATAAAAAAAATTAGATTAAGGATTTTCAAAGTTTATACATCTTGGAGTTTCTCAGTATGTCACACAGCAACATCAAGACAATACGGGAGAAGCCTCATTCCCTGGCCAAATGATGCACTGCCAGCTGCATCAAGCTACCTCACCCTCTCTGCAGATTTACCAAGCAGCTCAGGACACTCACGAACACAAGTACTCAAAATCCCCAGCACAGAACATCTAGAAAGCTATTCTGCCTTTCACTGAATGCAACACTCAGAAGTTTGCACTCTGAAAAACATCTCCTGCTGTCACTACTTAAATAGGACTTTTTAGCTGCTCCTTCTTTCATAAAAGCATATCAGTTCCTACTTCAGCCAAATGGTGAGCTGCACCCCTACATAGCTTCAGGTAAATAAGATTCTCTACAGAATTGCCCTCTCAAAGTTTTACTGTTAGATTTAACTCAACAACCAACTTTCTTTCAAGCATTTGAAAGAGCCCATACATGTTAGAAACACACAGAGGCAGACTTGCCCAGGTAACTGAGGTTGAGGGGAAGGAAAAAACCCTAGGACTATCAGCATTACAGAGCACTCTAATAAACAGATAACATTCCTATTAAGAGTGACTCACTGTAGAAAAAAAGGCTACCAACAAATATTACAAGACATTGCCTCTTTGTAAGAAGACAGTTCCCATATAATTGAAAGAAGGAGTGCAATTTTAACTTAAATTACTCTAATGCACATCAAACTACTTTCTTTTTGTCTGTCTGGTATTTGGAAAACGTAACATACCATATTTTTGAAAAAGTCTTTCAGAGAAACTTGTCTGCCACTCCAAGGTAATAGGGACCTACTAGCACACCAAGCCATTCTAGATGGGTGGCTAGACTTCTTAAAATACCGTTTCATTAGCAATTAGTAGGGGTTTTTTTTCCCTAAGGTAAAATCCTAATATTTATCCTAATATTTTAAATGTAAAATGCCACCACCAACAAAGCACTGGTGCTAACAGCTTAAAGCAGAAAGAAAACTACAGATGGCAATCACGATGGGAGAGGCACCCGCTAAGCCACCCTTGTGCAGGAGACTGGTGTCACGGGAGGAGGAGAGCCCAGCGAGAAAGGAGCTGGAGACACACAGTGTCAGCATGAATTGTGCAGAATGACAGAAGACAACATGAAGTAAGCTGCCAGCACTGACCAGCTCGACAAGGAGCTTTGATTTGCACAAGAAAATAGTACGTTCATTGGCTTGTAACTTTCCGAAACTGCCAGGAAGCATTGCGAGTTCCTCTGGTTAGTGCACAGAGCTGGAGCCTGGTACCATACTAAAGGTGGAGTCATTTTTCTATCTGCCCTATAATCTGCCATCTCAAACAGAAACAAAAGGCGAGATCTGGTCCCGTGCACCAGGAAGCAAAGGCAAGCAAAAGGCAAAGTTGAGAAAGCACTCATGACTCGAAGTTCAATTGAAAAAAAGCAAACTGGAAGCTCAGTGGCAGGTCCCCAAGCAAGCCAGTGGATTTGTACATCTGGTGCTGACATCTGCAGGATAGCCAGCTTAGAAAACACGTGTTTCCAGAAGCATCATAACAGAAGCTGTCAAAAATACTGTTCTTCTCTCCTAACAACCTACTAGACTTTGCCAGTGGTTTTAGGAGGCAGCAGTATCAGCTAATCAGGCACTAAAAACACATTCTTTGGAAGAAGCTACTCTAGCATTTCTTGCTCTGCACAGGGATACTCTGCTATCAGAAAGAGCACTGTAAATTCAAAATACATGCCAATTATGTCAAATATGTAGTTGAGTCTTTACAGTGTTTGATTTTCTGGCATCATTCAGACTTCAGTCTCCTAAATCATCTTATCCACAGCCTCCCTGTCACTCCAAGATTCAACCTTCCAACCAGGTGGCACATAAGAATCTGTGCCAATGCCTCAGCTGCACCTTCTACCTGATAACAGTGAGGCTTTAAATACATACAAAAAGGCATCCTGAACTCTTGGCAGAACTACATCAGCTATTCAAACACATGCAGTGAACAGCAGTCCAGCATAAGGCAGGGACAGGAGGAGGAAAATGAGAAAGCGGGGGAAAAAAGAAAATATTTTCAAATAAAATTTACTAAGTGGCATTTGAACACGTGATGAGGGAAAAGAGGAAAACCAAAATAATCAAGAAGCAGCTGAACATGGCCTTACAATCAGTAACAAACCTTTACCAAAATAGAGGAAGCAGTGCTGATTAGTTAAAGTAAATACAGTTCAGCTCCCAGCAATGGGAAGAAAAACATATGCATAAAAGAATGAACAGTACTGAAGTACTCTCCCTCCAGCAAACATACATGCTTTTTGGAATTCTTTCTTGGTTCAGATTTTTTACTGGCTTCTAAGCAAAGTAATTCCTCCTCAGGAAGGCAAAGTTTTCCTAAACTGTCAGGTTAATCTCTGATACATAGGAGAGGCTCTGACACTTACCAGTTCTCCAAAAAGCAACTTCTCTCATTAATCAGCCTTATTATGGCCATCTAACAAAAATGACATGGGCAAGAAGGAGACAATATATTTCACTATCCCAGAGGGGCGTGGTCTTGCCAGCTTGTTGCTCAGCATGCCTATATGGGCACCACGATGACATGGGAAACAGGCAAGAAAATCTGGTAAGAAATTTCTTGGTAAGAAAACAGGTAAGAAAATCTGCTATCAAATCAGTTCCAAGAGGCCATTAAAAGCAGCGCTCTGCTGATGCTGTTCTCTTTGGTCAATACTGCTTTTGCTCAAAGGCTGTCTGCCACACGTGGAAAACCTGCGGATCAGTAAGACCCTTTCAGTGGAAAAGCGCAAAAGGAAAAGAAGGGCCTTCCCAGCTCTAGGACTGGATTTACTCTAAGAGCAAGTAAACTCAGCTAAAAGGAAGGTGAAAAACAGAGAAAGACTTTCAGATGTTCGTCCCAGTTGCTGGTTGTGCGACATCTTTAGAGTGCTCAGATTACAGCAGTATGTAGGTGGGGTAAACTGTTTTCCTTTTTTGAAAGACTACTGCACATAGGAGAATGGAGATGGCTTGACTGCCACATATTCTGGGAAATAAAAAAAATTATCTCCTTCAAGGAGAGTTAGAAGAATTTAATGGCATTTCAAAACTAAATTGCTACCATCAAAGATTTTATATTGCCAACTAATAAAAACAAAATAACGCCAAGAAACCTCAGGCAATGGTGTGTGCTTTTATTTACTTGGGAAAAAAAAAAAACTAAACTAAAAAAAAGTCTCGAAACTCCTCCAAAACAATGTCATCCTGGTAACCATAAAATCCCTTTCAGCTTCAAAATGCATTTGAGCCTTTTAGTTGCTCTTTTTAAATAGATGTAGTGGCACCATTTTTATAGCAACTTGTGTGAATCTGAAAGCAAGCTAATTCCCAGCTGCATATTCCAAGCTTGCACCATGGCTAATAACCTAAATTTAAACCGCCAAGCCCACCAAATGCCCAAACACTTGAAAACTATGCCAAGAGCATTAAAATCAATAGCTTCTGCTGAGAGCAGAATCTCTTCCAGATGCTCACTGAATCTTTTCCTAGCTCACATCGCCAGCCTGTATGCTACAAAGCAGAAACATTCTTCCATTCCACGTCAACAGTATCTCTGAGCCAGTATCAGGAATTTCACTAAGCCTGGAAATAATAAATATGCTTACACAAGCTAAGACAGAAGCAAGGAAAACTGATGGGAGAAGAAATGGAATAACAAACTTCAGGGAATACAGGGAACGTTAAAGGGAGACAAAGGAAACTACATGGAAAAAAAAGTGCACTTATTGCTTGCTGAAAGAAATGCGCTTGCTAATTTTCAGTCAGTTTTTTATCTCCTATGTTCTTATACCTGGCAATAAACAAACAAAAAAAAAAATTCCATGCAGAGTTGCATATTCCAAACCTCAGCATTCTCAAAGAAAACTGCATTTTACTGACAGACAGTAGCCATCAAGTTTAAAATTTCAACAGAAATGGTTTCAGATGGTCTTCGTGGCTCCAGCAAAATGCTTGATTTTGTTCTTCATTGCAGCTCCACTCCAGATAATAGCTTGTTAGCCTGGTTCTTGCTAGTTGCTAATGAAACTAGGATGCTACAAAGGAATAGTGTCTCCTAAAGAAAAAAAAGGCAATCCTACTAGTTTGCTACAACATTTTTGCATACTAGCCATCTGAATCTTAATGGAATACACTTTGCCATAAAAAATATAGCTTTAATTTACAAAATAAAATATATAATCGTTACTGAATCCCATTGTAATGCTTCTAAATGTAATGTTTATTGCTGCAAACAAAATCACACCACGCTATCTTGAATGTTGCAACAAGCTGTGTAGGGTATTTCTAATCTGAGTTGTGATTACTTGCAGCAATACACCTACAAGAATCTGCTAACAAGACTCTGTCTGTTAAAGAGCTTAAAAAGAAGGGAGAGGGAAAGAGAAGTGGAAGATTATATTTGCCAAGGTGGTAAGACTTTTGTCGGAAACCAAAACACCGTTTTGTTTTACTGCTGCAAATTTTGGTTTTGGAAGCAAAAGAAATGTTGCACGACTTTTCCTCCAAAATACTTTCTGTTCTGATCCCCTGTACTTCCAATTTATTGTTATGCTAAGGTTATTTAGTAACAGATTTACCTGTGTTTCCTTTTCTTCTTTCTGGGAGGAGTATCAACATCTTCAGCAGGGACTGGTGCAATAATACTAGATTCCTTTACTCTAAACTCATACACCTAACAAGAGATACCATAATACATCCACGATAAATCTCTCACTAGTAGCAAGTTGCTCATTTTCTAAGTTAGTATGATTTCCTTCATCCAACAACTTAGATTATATCCAGTCATAGTCTCTTTTCAATACATTTAAAGCTGATTATTTTTGCCATTTAAGAACTGATAGGCTAATTTAAACCTCCTCTAAATTTAATTTAAAAACAGTTTTAAAACTGACTTTTATGTATTTGTGGTATAAATTCTGGATCACAGCATTCTTGGGAAAACCAAGAAAATTAATTAATTTTCTTTTTTAGTAATCAATACTGGTATTTCTATACTTCAGTTTTAAAAGTAAAAAGCTATCACCCCTGGCAAGTAGCTTCCTTTCTTACCTGTCTGCACGTTTTGGTCCCAATCAGTCTGGCAATTGCACAGAAGTTGTCATAGTAGGTGCCAATAAGAACTCTAAACATTGAGGCTTCTGCACCACTCCATTCCACATTCTCCGGAGGCTCAATATTTGGCTTCATCTTTATCGGTGTTTGACACCTAGAATTTGCTTCTGTAATAAATAATTGAGAGTAAGGTAATTTCAAAAATTTTACACAGCCCTTAAAAATGTCAAATTATTAACTGCAGCTAAAAATATCCCAAGGTTTTGTTGTTGTTGTTTCCCAAGAGCCACAAAAACCCAGCACTTTCCATATATCTCTTGCAGAAGCTAAGAGTAGCTATTCAATTACATGATCTCTACATAAATTGAGACAATCTGGGAATTCCTTCCAGGGTTTTGTTTGATTAAACTCATATTATTACTCTGTCTTTTCATTCAGTCCCATACATTCCAAATACGTGTTTCCTGTGACTCAACCTGTTTTGGTGGGTTTTGTTGTTGTTAGGCTTTTTTTTTTGTTGGGTTTGGTTCTATTTTGTCTTCCCAAGCACTGCAGCTAAACTGAAAAAAAAAAAACAAAAAACATTGAGCAGCCGCACCAGAGGAACTGGATGTTTCATCTTTCTTTTCTTCTTCTTCTTTATCATTGTTTTCTCCTCCAGTTTCCGTTCCAGCTTCTCGGTCGCTGTCCGTGTCCTTTGATTCCAAGACATTTATTGTTGGCGTGCTGGGCCTGCTGGTGTTGTTTGGAAGTCTCCCCCTCCGGCGGCCACCCGGGCGCTTTGGTGGTGTCTTTATACGCTCAGCAGTCAAGGCAGCTGCAAACTCCTTTGCACCTTCCTAAACATAAAACATCACAATTTTTAGTCAAATAATTAAAAAGTGTTTTCTCCCGTGATCAGGGCTTGGGAAAAGGCACATTCTGCTTGTATACTGCATAATTCTGCATTATTCTACAAAATAATCGTATACACAGAAATTCCAGTTAAATGTACTCTAACCGTGAACATAAAATACTTTAGATGCTACCATGAAAAAAAATCCACGTTTACAAAGTACTCATGTCAGTATTCCAGTTCTCCTTTTATTTTGGCTGCCAAGTGAAAAATAATTCAGTAGTAAGTTTCTATTTTCCCAGATGACAGAAAAAATGAGAATTTCCTACAGAGAATACCTGTCAAAACACAGGAACTCTTTTTGCACATAGCACTTCAACAATGTGTTCTGCATTTTTTAAAATGCAAGGGCGGTAATTTGTTTTTTAGTGGAAAGGAGTATGACAATGTGTAGCAAGTTTTTAGATTGGCAAATTGCATAGTTTTTCATACTAAAAAATTTAGGAGAATTATGAGAGAGATTTTAAATTATATTACATCTCACCTCATTAATTTCCATGGAATCTGCCTTTGGCAAGCTAAAAAACCCCTATAATGTTTAGTTGTGATATAATCTACAAGAGATCTTAGTCTGCAGTTCCTTGACTAGATTGGACACAATAGCAGCACCACCATCATTAGGAGGTAATAGCACTTCTTCCCTACAATATCTCAGGCTACATCTAACAGGTCTAAAATGTATTCCTACTGAAGATGATTGGAAGTTAAATCTTTTCTTTCACACCAACTGAAGATAACCTACTTGACTGTAAGTGGCCCACAAGTACATGCACTATCCTAGATCCAGTGTGTCCTTATATAAAGTGTATCCTGCTATACTGCAGCTAGCACTAGCACTCAGTGAATTGTAACATAAAATTATCTTACCAAATGTTGGTAACAGTGCGGTCCACAAGGCTTATTATCTAATGCTGTTTCTGTATTCTTTCGTTTATAAGTATTAGGAGTTGCATGGAATGCTGTTGAATCAAAACATCACATTTTTAAGTTTTCAGACAAAAATTTATTGAATATCTAACCTGAAACAGTATTCAAAACACAAGGTTTACCGAGACTTTACTAAAACCGGAATAAAAATATTAACAAATGGAAAAAACCCCCACAAAATAAACCCCACGTAGTGACATCTGACTTACCACTTAAATACACAGAGACGACACATAGGTTAAGTTTCACATATCATGGAATGGTTTGGAAAGGACTTTAAAGATCATCTAGTTCCAAACCCACTAGTTTGGACAGGGACACCTTCCACTAGTGGACCAGCTTGCTCAAAACCCCATCCAACCTGGTCTTGAACATTTCCAGGGATGGGGCATCCACAGCTTCTCCAGGCAATCCGTTCTAGTATCTCACCACCCTCACAGTCAAGAACGTCTTCCTTATATCAAATGTAAATCTATTTCCCTTCAGTTTAAAGCCATTATGCCCATTTACATCAGCAAAGACAATCATCACATTTACTTCATATATCAAGGAAGATTTGCTCTATCTCCCTTCCTAACAAAAGAACAGACTTTAATTTGTTGTCATGTTAAACAAGAATTATTCAGGGCTTCTCCTATTAATGCATGATCATTCCTTCAATCTGTTAAGATTCAGTTGTTCAATTCCTATCTTGTCAAAAAATCCAAGCCCTCTTTGGAAAGGTAATGGATCCAACTTTACACTTTCATCAAGGAGGAGACACGTAAGCATTTTTGCTCTATTAGTTTATCAGCACTCCAACTAAGCTGATGGGATATAAGACTTCAGTTCCTGTATCCCAGCTGCAGGGTAAAAATAAGTTAGCATTGCACAGTCACTATGGATCAGAACAACCACAGTTAAGTCTGCAACTTGCAGAGAAGTGTCTGCTCCTTATCTGACGGACTCTGCATGGCTCTGTATAAGCTGCAGAGCAGTAACTCGGAAAAGAGCAGAACTGGGTATGTTACACATGCAACATGAGCATCTTTATAACACAGGATAGCAGAATTTCCTACCCATTCTCTTTGCCAGGGCCTGTTGTCCTCCCATGAAATCCCTGCCAGCAGGGTGCTTTCAGAGAGACTGACCTACAGGGTTTTGCTGGAAGTCTTGGGAACTTCTCTGTAACACTTAACCAAAGCCTGGAAAACCTGCCACTAGACTCTCATCAAAACTCATATACTCATACTCCCAAATTATCTTAGGAGCCTTTGGAAATACTATCCTTAGTTTTCTGCAACATTCTTTTTTAAAAAAAATTCATCTTGGTGCAAGAAAACATTATTCTGGGGTTTTTTTTATATATATATACATACGTATATATACACAGATACATATCAATAAAGACTTTGTCCCTCTAAAGGTGTTAACAGTGGCATACAGAACTGCAAGGAATAAAAATGGGGAATCCACTGAAGTTCAAAAGAAAAGAAAAGAAAAAAAAAGAGACTACTCAGTGCTAGCTATCTGTTTGTTAATGCTCCATAAAGGCCTAGAAAAGATGCTCATCTGAAAATGTGGAATTTCCAGGCTCCGTAAAAGCACTTCTGCTGCAGTTTTACCACAGCTGCAGTTGGGCAACTGTAACTTACAGTGAAGTTTTTAAACATTCAGTGAATTATAAGTGCTAACGTTCAAACTGAAAGATGAAATCCCTCCCCTCTTACACATAATAATCTAAAAGGGCAGTTCCATACCAACATGACAGACATCCCTCTCCTTCTTTAACCACCACCATAGGCTTTCCTACTTATCCTATTTCTAGATCACACACAAGGCTTCTCTCTATATATCCCCTATGCTTTCAAGACTGAGCTTTTTAAATGCAGCTCCTTGCCTTTCAAAGAACGTGGGCAGAGCCCAAATATGTCTTCACAGATAAAGTTTTTAAAAGCAAATTTCATTTCAGCGGTCTGGTTTGTAGTGTAGCTCTGCAAGCATCAGTGAGGAGGGTGACCAGTGCTGCTGAGCACTTCTTAAGAAAGCTTCTCTGATGAAACCACTGTCTTGGAACTAACCCTTCATGCCCCCCTCCCATAAAGGAGGGCAGGTTGAAAATCAAATCATAAATTCTATAATGTTGTGCCTGTATTAATGACAACAGCACGTGGAACCCCAGAGAAGCAACATATTCACCAAGGTTTTCTTAAAATTATATAAACAATATAAAACTATCACTAATTTAATATTGCATCCCTTTATTAAAAAAAAAATTACATTTTATAAATCTGGAAACACAAAAAAGCTTTAATTTTCTACATATGGGCACGTAGCTCATAAAAATTACTTACAGGCAAGCATAGGAATGTAATTTATGCATATTGTTGCTATTAGCACTTTCTTCCCCCAGGTTTCAGTTAAAAGCTTTTATGTAGTATGTCACTTCTCATATGTTTCAAGTAACCTTGAAGTGTTCATACATTCTCTAGGTAAAATATGCTAAATAACAAAGAAACCTAGCAATTTAATGCCAAGTTATTCCACTCTTTTCCAGCTTTTAAGGAACAATGAAATGATGGGAGTCCCCCCTCCAAAAAACAGAAGAGAAACCCTCCACATTTTGTAACACTGCATCTTTAAATTTGCACAGTACATCATTTCATTCAGGGGCTTTTTTCCGCATAATGTTTTACTTTCTCTTCATAGCACAAGAAAAATAATTTTACATCAATGCAAAAGAACAGTAAAACATTTGCAAGCCATGATCCATATCAGAGCGCTGCATTGTGCAGAAATCAAAACTATTCTTTTTACGTGTCACTTGCAGATGCAAACACTTCTCTCACGAGTTCATTGTGCGAGGTCCTAGAATGAAATTTTTTTCAAAAATTGTTTTCCTTTAGACAATGAAGACCTGCTTAGTTTGCAAGATAGTGAAATAAATCAACCTTTGATATTTTTAAACCAGAGAGACTTCAAAAGTAGGCTCTGATACTTAATATTAGAATTATATCTTGCATTAAATTATTTAAAAGACACCCAACATAGAATGGTAACGATAACTGTAGTCAAAATCTACCACCACTGTTGCGAGAAATTTTTTTGAGGGGGAAGGTTTGTTACAAAGAAAGGACCCAGGGCAAGTATAAAACTATTTGTATAGCTGTATTAATTATTTTTCAGATATCAGTAATAATGTTTTTCAAAAAATCACAGAAGAGTTTGTAGGGTTTCCTAAATAACTAAAATCCATATTTCTTAAATAATTTCCTCAAGAAAATAATTCTAAAGCTGCTTCACTAAGCATATTTTTTCTCTTTGAGATTTATTATCTATCTCATCCCCAATGGGCTCAACTCTCATATTTTTCATAATGTGAAAGTACACAGGCAACGGTTTAGCCTGAAATGTACATTTGCTTCACAGTCAAGCTATTTGGGAAATTCCCCCTACCTGATACTTTTCCTTCTTCTAAATTCTTTGTTAGTCCAGACATTTAGGCATAATTCCTTGCTGTCAGCAAATGAAGTCGGTACACAAGTTTTTTCAGTAATGTCATCACCTGCACATAAAGGGATTGCCAGGTCGTCAAGGGGACTTGACATGTTAAAAATCTAATGATAACTTTTCCTATATTTAACTCAAATGTTCTAGAACAAAGATTGGAAACTCCATAAAATAAGGCCGATCTTAACAAAAATAGAATCTAAGAGGGGGAATTACAAGAAGCAAAACCAGATCCAACAGAATTCCTCTTTTTTTTTTTTTGTTTTAATTCTCTCTGCCTTCTCCAGAGATTTGCACCTTTCAGAGTACAAATCTGATCACTGTGACCCACCACATCACCAAAGTAATTCATCAAAAATGTCATCTGCAGAAGCCAGGACATCATCCTGCAGCACTTGGGAAGTGCATGAAGCAGAACAGAGGCAACCGTAGAAAGGTTCTCAGCTTTTTTTTTAAAAGTTAAATTGTTAAATTGTTGCAGAGACACTGAAAATTGCTTAGTGCAGCCTTCCAATAACCAGAGCGGACTTTTCTTTTTTTTTTTTTTTTTTTTTTTTTTTTGATGAGTTACTTATTCCCAGCAATGAGCCTGGTGAGTTTTGACCAACAGTCTTAAAATTTCACAGGAAGCAAAGAGGTCATACAACTGACTCTCTCAGTTTTCAAGAGATAAATTCCTAGCTCTAGACAGACACGCAGACAGACAGACACAGACAGAAAACAATCCTCTTCCCTTGGTGTTGCTATGGACAAAAGCAAAAGGAAGCAATGCATCCAAAGCAGTGAGCAGTCATTGTTGAGGTGGAATTTGGGTATGTTTTCAGGGAATGGTGACTGAAGCATCAGTTTACTACATTCAGTGTGCAGTGCAGAGGCTACATAGTGAATGTGTAAATCAAGCTTCAAGAGATCTCTTTGCAATAATTAAGTATCAGATACATCCTTATCAGTGACAATGCATGTGCTGCGTAGGCTGTCATGAGGAGCATTATCATAAGCAGTAATTTCACACTCCATCCTGACACAAAGGTACCTCTTGAATGCCTTCACTGTGAAAGTGCTATTCATCCCTCTTGCTGCTATGGCCCTGAAATTCTGAGGGGATGATTTAAAGTTTGGGCATTTTTAATTACGAGGCACAGTTTAAATGAAGCCTTGGACATACACCAGGTTGGAAAGTACACTGACTTAAATAAGGGACGTATCAAAACTCATCAGCAACAAGAACTTAGGCAATCTTTCAGCATAAACACTTTGTCTTCCACCTCAAGGTTATGAACACAGAGAATGGAGGCACAGCACTTTTGGCTTAAAGGACACTGCTAGTGTGAGAACTGAGGTCCTTCAGCCCGTCAGTGTTTCAACCAGAGACTCTGGACTTTCCCATTGGCTGAAATGGGCACTCAAAAACATGTCAAAATGTACAACACTATGAACTCATCCTTCACAGCACTAAGAGAACAGAAGTCTCACAGAGCTTGTGCCTCAGAACTGTGAACTGGCAATACCAGGCTCCCCAGAGTAGCAGGTCAGTGGAACCTTTCAGCTCTACTTCTCTCAATCTGCAAAAATGACTGTGAAAGGCAAACCCACATAGAGTAATGAAATATATGCATATTTTAGAGGAACCCACATCTTCGCTGGAAAACTCCTACAAGTTTATAAAATCAGTGAGAAAATGACCCAAAAGCACTGCTGCAGAAATACCTAAAGTCTTCAAAGGTGCCCCTAGGAAGAGTTTGTTCTTACTATGTCCAGATAATGCTTTTTTGTTGACTTAAAAAGTCAAAATCCTTTTAAAATGGCACTTAGTCTCTCTGCTAAACTACTGAGAGTGTCAAGAACTCATAACCCCTGCCACACAAATGGATTGCCAAGAGGCAGCATACAGCTTCACTTCCCTGGTTGCAGACTAAGGCTGCACACAGCACTTCTTGGAATGAGTCATCCAGGCAACGAAGCTACTACAAAACCTACAGCTTCACAGAACACATCATGTTGAATCTGGCTGGACAAGGCAGCAGCTATACCTCCAGAAACTTACTGTTCTTTAACGTTATTCAGAAGTAAGAGCTTCCTTTTATCTTTTTCCTCCTATTTTCAAGCAAGGGCTGTCAACAGAATATAAGCAGAAAGTGAAACTAACAGACCTAGCTCCAAAAGGCACAAATACTGTTGGAACTCGGAATGTGAAAAGCTTCCCTCCTCCCCACCACCTGAGAACAACTCCAATTCCTCCTCAAACTGAAAGGCAACTAAGGGATACTAAAAAGCAGCAGCACTGTGCAAAGCCTTCAGTGTGAAGTACAAACACAGGCAGATTGCATGTCTGCTGGATGAGGAGCTGCTGACAAAGCACGAAGATTTCCAAATGAACATGCATGGGCACTCACAGTGGAACATGCAAATGAACAGTTAAGTCAAAAGAGAAAATTAATTTGAGGGCATCACAGTGTTCCACTACAAGTCAAAACCAGTTCATAATTGACTGTTAGTTTCCCCCTCACATTTGACTCTGTTCTCTGAGCAAGAACTGTCTCAAGTAGCACTTCAGAATCTCTCTTACTCTTCACACACTTTGCAAGTGAAAACCAATATCATTGCTAAGCTCTTGTTAAATCCTTCCCCCAAAAGAATGGGGCAACATGAAAGCAATTCAGTGGAAAGGATATCAAAATTTTTAAACTCAACTACGTTATTAACTTCAGAGAATAAAAGATAAAACTGTTCATGAGCGTTTATTCTCCCTATTGGAAAATGAAACAAGTTTGATGAATAACCAAGAATTTTTATGGAAAAATACATTCCATTCTCCATGCATAAACTGAGAAAGTGTAACACAGAACCGATAGTAGAAAATAATATAGTTTTCTTACAGACTATACAAAGAGAAGTGACGTTACAGGTTGGTCCAAGTCAGGAATTCTATACATAGTCCTAAATGCAAAAAGGATAACAAACCACCCCACAAAGGTGCATATGGTTTTTTGAGGGATAGTTTTCACTGCAAAATAATGTCAACATGGACAGGTTGTTTTCATAAACTTCAGAGATACTGATGTTCTTATTTTTTCTTCTCTTTCCTTCCTACTGCACTGCATCCTGACTTGCAAAAGCAAGATATATACAAGCACACTATAATCATACTTACGATGTAAGAAGCAATCATATTTAAAACAGCGTCTACAGAAGAGTGTGTGAAAAGAGTGCAGGCTTTGCTCCCTCTGAACGGATTTAGCATTTGGTCCATCTATGTTCGGTGTGCATTCAGGGGGAAGAGCTCCAGGAAGTTGCTGCTCAGTGAGTTCTTTATATCTTTAAAAGAAAGTAATGGAAGTTACTTATTATTCCGGTATCGCTTTGCATTTTCAATGACAAATTAACAAACAAACAGACAAAAAAAAAACCTAAGAAATATGAGCCAGCTGAAAAGTCAGTCTCTTAGTGATACGACAAGTTTTTAATTTCATACTCATTAATACAAATATAAAATTGACTAGGAAAGAAGGCATTTGTTTTCCAGACCATCATCTCTTCATACATATTACTCACTAACTCTGAAAAGGAGATTTATTTCTTTTTTTAAACAGAAGCTTTTGCTCTAACACCTCAAAAAATTACATAGATTATTAAAGACACACAAGCACACCCTTTTCAACAGTTTAAAAGGAAGGCTAATAAACACTTCTGTATTGTTTGACTCTGTGGGAATAGCCAATTCCCTCCAAGTATCACTGGCAGTAGTTACACAACTGCCACAGAACTAGCTGCAAGGAGGACCATTCCTAATCAACAAATATTTAATGAAGTTGAGGAATCTTTGTTTCATAGAGCAACACAGCAATATGCCCTAAGAAATGCTTTCTTACTTCTCTTTCAGTTCTTCTGCTGTACCCTTGTCTGGAAACATGGAGGAAATGGCTTCAAATATCTTGTCAGAAGGAAATCTCCGAGGTGGGTGGCTTTCTTTCTCTGTCAAGGAAGCAAAACATTTGGAAAACAAGAAAACTGTATTTCTGTTCCTTTGCTACCTCAAGAAGGTGCTCAGACAAAGGGGGACTTCACCAGAATTCTAATCTGTAAAAAAATGACCGACAAACTGTGTTAAGTGATCTTTCCTGCCGAGAAAACTCTATTAGTAAAAATGGAGAAACAATTATTTCACCAGCAGATGGAGACGGCAATTCAGAACTCTGCCTACTTTAGAATAATATCTCATTTTTTGAAGAGCACTAAAGCATTTATTAGACAGATATCTGACTAGTTTTTGTTGCATCTCACTGCCTCAGTATGCAGATAAATCAAAACTGGCATAAGTGCCCTTTGTAGTATTCTCTGTACAACTCTTGAACTGAATCACAAAGGATATTATGAAAATCATGCTACTTTACACCTGAAAACTGTATTGTATAAAGAAGAGTTTGAACAAGTTTATTTGGTGGTTAAATAAAAAAAGGTTTGGTTTTGATTTTTAACCCCCGCAGACAGACATACCCATCCTGTTACCTTCCCGATCTTTTTGCTTGTCATCTCTTTCCTCAGGATTGTCATCTCCATCATCATCATCTTCATCATCACTATATTGACCAAGGGCATTGACCAGTTCAACAAATATTTCATCGTTGATAAATCCACATTCTGAAATTCAGCAAAATTGTGAGTGAACACAAAAGCACAAGGTGTATATGAAGTATTTTTAATCCTCCCTACACTTCAATTAAATTACGGCAAATGCTGTTGTTTATAAAAAACAATTTTGTATTTTTCCCCTCTTAGTTTCAGTGTATGAACAAGAGATGAGTTAAAAATACTCATTATTCATTTCTTAGACCGACAATTGGGAATGCAAGAAGGAAACTGGTGGACATTTTTCTTTTCCCGACTTCCTATGCTTCATACTAGTACATGTATATAAATCTCTCCTCCTTGGAAGATAAAAAAAATAATACTAGCTAGACTATTTAGGAGATTTTATGCCAGAATCCCAGTTCCAACACGATAAATTAAGCCAGTATGGAAATGCACGTTAACAGTCTATAAATTCTCAGTCAGCTGGGGAATCTCATGAGAGATTTTTGGTTGGTAGTCCCTTAGCATCCACTTCCCTACAGACCCCACTAGCAGGGTGATAAAAAAAGAATGCCATTATATACAAAAAATTCAAGAGAAAACTGAAGGATACAATGCTGCCTATATCTACTTATTAGTTTATTTTCTGTTGTGACATTCAGAGGGCAGAAGAGATTTAACAATAAGGCATTTCTGCACAAAGGAAAAATCAGTGTTGACAGAAAATGCTATTTTTCAAAAAATAACCATGAACCGTACAGGAACTTCCATGCTTATCACCGTCCTTTTGAACCTGGACTGGTGTTGGATGTCAAAATAACTTAACAGAAACTAATAGTTTTATTACTGTGTAAACACTGAAAACACCATTTGAATGTTTTAAACAGAACTCTTAATATACACACACAGATTAGTACAAACTAATCTCCCAAACATGCAATTTTAAAGCTAGTTTAGAACTCTGACTCCTACACAGGAATGCCTCTGGATTACAGATTCCCACAGCATTTAATTACAGTCAGTCAAGAATACGAGTTATTGGGAAACTAACAAAAGTCTTTCTACTTTCCATATACAGGTTTGAAGATCCCATAACAATAACAATTGCCATCATGAACTTAGGTCTCAAGATGCTCAAACAGGACTAATTTTAAAGATAGACTCATTTAATAATAAATTAAATCATAGAAGACATTTACTACTAATGTCATCATTTTGCCATAACCAGTTCTCTGACAGGGATATCAGCAATCAGTAAATCTGTAAAAATATACAAAGCCCAAACCCCACGAAACATTTTATGTTCCTTATGAAATACAAAGGCACTAGCTATCCTGAGGACATTATTAAGTCTAATGTAAGATCAAGTAGCATTTATTATTGAGTCACAGGCTTAAGCTTCATGAGAAGCACATAATGAACTCAAAAAACGTAGTTCTCTTCTTCAATCACTTCAGCATTAACAGGAATATAATCGATTTTAAGAAACTATTTATTCCCTGTTTTAGTGAAAGGGTAGAGTGGGTGGGTAATGTTTCTGCGAAGGGAAGTAGTCAAGAGAAACCTTTACAGCTGTAAAGCTCAGTACACAAACTTGTATACTCAGTCTACAAAACTTGTATAAACCAGTTCTGAGTGAGCACACAGAGCAAGTGAAAGGTCACCACTTCACTGAGACTTCAGCAAACTAAGAGACAGATTACGTTGCATGTAGTCCAGCTCCCACACAGGAGAAGAGGTAAACTATATCTGAGAATAAATATATACCAAACCCCACAAAGCCATAAGAGGTTATTCTATTGAATTGCATTTGCAATTGTTGTCATTATCAGAGTTTTGCATACTTTTCCTGCCACTTTCTGCTAGGCAGGACACACAGAGACATAACAATATTTTATTCCAAAGCTCTGGGCACAAAACTGAATGTCAAGAGTCATTGTATAGTATAGGGAAAAAGATAATGTGCTTAATTTCTCCATACTACTACTTTAAAACATTTAGCCTTATGAAAATGCAAAGCAATATATTTAAATAAGGAATCCAGTTATACCCAATATTTACACAATGTAGAGATTCTAGAGACACTACTGTAACAATCAAGCATCAAGCCTTAACAAGCAATACTACAACAATTATTTATGTAGGAAGAAGTGATTAGTATACCTGAGTGTCTGGGCTCACCTCTGTCTCCATGCACTTTCCCATCATAGTTCTTGATGAGTTCTTCAATAAAGGTACCATCCTGGTCAAGCACCTCATCTCCCATATATGGAATGTTATGTAAAACAGTTTCATCCTCTACCTACGAACAACAGTTATAATCAAACAATTTTAAAGTGCATTTTCAAGTGACCATTTCTGCATTGCTATTTTCCACAGTGTACAAGAGTCTAGCTCTCACAACTAACTGGCTCCACTGCTTTAGCACATTTACCATTAATTAAAGAAATGAAACAGAACCATCACTGATGGTTCACTGATGATGCACTCATGGTGACTGGCTCAAAATACTAACACTAGCTCCTGACCTCAAGGGTTAGCAGTGTTTCCACAAAGCTTCTACTATGGAAACCCACTAAGTTACCTGGCTTTGGCAAGCTTGCATTTGATAAGTTCATTTGCCCCCCTGTGGATCTCTTCTACAGTAATGCTGGAAATCACAATGGAAACCACCCCTTCATTGTTTGCCAGAGATAAGAAAATATGCCACAAAAAGGCTCTAAATTCAAGTTGTCTAAAGAGCAAGCAGAAACACGCCTGACAATTTAATCTGAACTCCACTGTCTTTTTTTGTCTGCATACAGACTAAATGCATTAATACTCCCATGTTTTATCAGTAGAATTTATGGACCCTGATACTCAGCTGCATCTTCCAATACTACAAAAGAACCTTCTATTAATAAGAAAATAAATGTAAACTTTCCTGCTCATCATGATTCTGCAGTCCAAAATACCAAACACTGATGAATTGAAAGCAAGTACAAAAATGTGTGGATGAACTCCGTACATATACTGATAAAAATGGTTATTTAAATCACTATGTTACTATTATTATCATAATAACCAGCCAACAAAGGTGATCATACACAAAATGACATGACAAAGATTTGCAATAAGCTAAGCTTTTCAAATAACTCAAATAGAGTTTCAAATAACTCTGCATACAGTGAAGCTAATCAAAAAAAAAAGCCAGACTCGGGTGGTAAATTAAAATGACCATTATGGGGGAAGACTATTGGAGGATTAAGTTCCCTTTATGCCATAAGAATTCCTATTCTGCTACAGGTATGTTGGTTGATTGTCTTACATAAAAGTATTCATACTCCTCAGAAAACACTACTGATTAAGCTAATTATGTACTTTCAAATAAATCAAGATTTGGTAAAGGTCACACAAGACAATAGGTCACCTGCATTAAATAAACTTTACACCAAGATTTTAGAGATACTAAGGTTCATTGAGGATAGAGGTTTAGTTTGAAATCAAAGTTAACTTTTTCTTTAGTTTATTGAGGGGGGGCTTATTTTATTGAGGAGGAGGGCTTATTTCTGATTATAACTGCCTTATTACCAATACTGAAGACAGAGAGGAGAGTTGGCAATGGATTTTTGCTGGTTTACTTCTAAAGTGAACACTTCCCTTTTCTCCGTACATTTCTCCTCCCAGCACTTGTTTAAACTTACCATAAAATTCTGTTGAAGGGGAGACCAAGAATACATTATAGGCACAGAAGCAACAGCATTGAGAGTCTTCAAAGGGATGACTTGTTTTGGAAAATCTATGTCACTGGTGACAGAGCACTGAAATAAGAGGTTGAAATTACACTTACATAGTAACATCAGAAAAAAAAACAAACAAAAATAAAACACAGAACAGTTCTCAATGTACAAAATTCGAAGAGTTTCTCAAAATTAGCCACATCGATCTTCAAAAAACACATCATTTTTTTAGGGCATAATACTACAAATAATTTCAGCAGGGAAAAACTTCAAGAATTATTTCTATGTCAATACCTTTGCTAACAGATCATGATAGGTTTTTTCCACTTGCTATTAAGTGGCTGTGATAGTATTTTATTCAGACTATTCAACCTACGATAGAAATTAAGTTTGTTATCTCAAAACAGATTTAGTACCTGTTGCTGCTACACTGCTGTTAGTGCATTTACTCAAGCCATCTGAGCGCCAACTGAATTCCCCTGGGTTCAGATCAATACACTACAGATATCATGTATTATTTATGTTATGAAAATAAATAAAATTTTACTTTAATACCAGCAAGACACCTTATATAAATAAAACCTCCATGTCCTTTTAACTCCTGCCTTGTTTTCCCATTATTGTCAGTTTACCTTCATCCTATCCTCAAGCCTTTAATTATGCTCACTGCTTACAAAGGAAAAAGGAAAATTAATTCTTAATACACATCTCTGTGTATTAAGCCAATGAGTTTTTCAGCTACAGGACTATTGTTCTAGAGATTCAAAGATTTATGTAGCCTACAAAAGATAAACAATCCATAGAAATATAGACAAAATTAAGTTATTTTTCATCTAATCAGTAGTTAGCTGACACAGGTCAACTTCTCTCAAATACTCGGGCAGCAGTATGAAGAACTCTGAAAAACAAGTTAGAAACAAAAGCAGACAAAAACATACAGAGCTAGGAGAAGTACAACAAAGAGGATTTGGAGATAGGTAAAACAAAGCTTAGAACAGCTATCATAGCTACCTGAAAGGAAAAAAGTGGAGACAAAAGATCTTTCTCCTTTCCAGAAGGGAAAGATGAACAGAGCTTCACATTTCTAAAGAAATACACAAAGTAATGTAACAAACAGTATACAGAGACAGTACCCCGGTAGAATGACACAAGCCAGATTTATTTCTTTTCTTTTTAATTTGCAGCAAATGAAATTAGATTTCTGCTCTGTATATGAATATTCAAGACGCTATCTATGCTATGCTACTGCTTTATTTCCATTTCAGGTTAATGTTTAATTCTCTAGCTAGCAGCCATCTAGCATATTTTTCATGTATTTTTAAAGAAAAATACAAAAGTAAAAAAACTAATTACTTTTATCTTTGGAACTAGAAGTCTCAGGCTGAAAAAAAGCTATGTCAAAATGACTCAAAATGTTTGGTACTAAATCCCAGTTATGTTGCCCTGCTGTTTTGGTATGGAACCCAGCTCGATGTTTAGTAGGCCAGCACAGGACATGTTATTATCACTGGTTGAAGGCACTCACAGAACCTTTCCATCAAGTCACTACATTTCTAGCCAGTGTCTTAAGCAACTCTGAAGAAATTCAGCATATTAAGAAAAGGAGATTCTAAAGTAATCTTTTAAAGTCTCCACCATTTCTTTGTCTCACTTCTCTCACTTTAAGTCATGGCAATCTTAAATCAAGCATTAGGGTCCTGACTCATGAGACAGAGACTGGATTTGAATGCAGTAATTAGTGTGCTCTATCAATATAGGCAGGAAATTGACATAAGGAATAGTGAACACCAAGCTTAAAAAAAAAAAAAAAGGAAAGAAAAAAGAAAGAGGAATTGTGAGGAATGATCTTTTACTAACAAAAAAAAGGTGAAAATTGGATGTGTACCTGTGTCAATTATTATCAGAAGTTCTGATTCCATAGTGCCATTTAATAGCGAGAGAGCAGTACTTGTAATTGCATATTCAAGAACATTTAAAAGAGAACACTTAAAGGTCCTGGTCTGCTTGCATTTGAACACACAAGCACATAAATGCACCTCTGTGATACACCTCTGTCCCCCAGTTCTCCACTAAAATTTGAGGAAAAGGAAAATCTGCACATAAAGTGCTTTGGTTTTTTTAACCTATTCACAGCAAGGTCTTATCATTCTCATCCTAGCTTTTCAGATTACAGATAAAACGTCTTCAAACTGGCTTAGTTTGAAGAAGTGCCTAAAGGGCAACTGAGAAAGAAAACAAATTAACCTGGGCTGAATACAGAAAGTTGGAATGGGCTTAAACCACTGTTCAAGCTACCAACTCAACACAGGACACAATCCTGAGTAACATGCTCTAGGATGACTCTGCTTCAGCAGAGAGGCAGTCCCTTCTAACCTTACCCATTCGGTGATTCTGTGAAAGCCAGTCAGCTCAAGTTGCACCACAATTATGGAAATGTTTTTCACAAATTTAGCTTCCAGTCTGCTTGTGCAACACAAGGGTTCATCAACCTAACTAACTCCTTTTAGGATCTCTGTGGCTAAACGACTTTAATTAATATAAAGAAGACTTTGTCAGTGGGTGTGTTCACAGATTTCATGTGCTTTAACTCAGTAAGAACCAAAGTAACCATAGATTTGTACAACTTGAGGAAAATTCCAATAGGTGCAAGAGTAAACTCCCAATAACACAGAGACAAAACAGTTTGATTAAAGGATGCTGAGATATGATACAAGTATTACCAGAAATAAAGAAGTTTCACTTTTGTGTTTCATTTAAAGCTAGGTAGCCTGCTATACATATTTATTGTTTTCCAGAAGTCGTAAGATCAAAGTAAATCATAAATAAATTCTTTAAGAGATTCATACAAAACATATTAAGCTACCAAGTCATATCATGCTGGGGAAAAAAAAAAAAAGGAAAAGAACAGGCAATTTTCCAGTAATAAAACGAAAATGTGCTAACAACCTTGTAAGTGGAATTACCACAACACATGTTAACCAACCTCCCTGGTCCCGCGCAATGAGCTCACAGAAGTCATGATGTGAACAGGCTGTATCCTACGTTGTTTCCATTCTTGATTTAAGATTTCAGTTCTTTCCAGTATCTTCTGACGATTAGAATTAAACATACTCTAAAATTTAATCACAACATTACAGATAAATCAAAGACTCTAAATTCATTTAGTAGCATCCTAAAGCATTATAACATTTACTAAAAAAATAAACAAAACCAGACAGGTTAAAAAAAAAAAAAGTGCTCAAAACTCAACCAAAGAGATTTTGTTTAAATGTCTGTGAGACTCAATACAGTTCATTACCCCTTTCCTCAATTCAAACCGCATTCACACATTTAGATACTCAAAAGGTTTAGCATGAAACTAAATTCTAAAGGGTATGCAGCTGAAGAAGTTGCCATACTTGCTCTCCACAGTATCTTTTGATACTTAACATTCTCATATAAACGTATCACACCTGTTTATAAGACCATAGAGTTAAGACAAGTTTTCAGCAGGTTAATGAAGTATTCAGTGAAATTGTTATAGCAGATGTTAACTGCAAGACACCTCATACTTCAGAGGGAAATCAATATTTGTATAATTTCATAAGCAATAAAACAAAAAATAAAGCACCTTTACTTCATCGGCACGTCGGAACCTCTTAAGCTGCCTCAGTCTCATATATTCTGATTTTACACGTTTCCTCCAACAAATTGGTCCCTTCTCAGATTTTTTTCCGGTTTGACCCATGATTATCCTACAAGAGACAACATCATGTTATTATTGCCAAATCTGATGCCACTGCTTACAGAAGAAGTGAGAGTGAAGTTAGGTAGGACAGAGACATTCCTTTAATACCTTTCATATTCTAATTCCTTTAATTCCTTTCAATCAGACACTTATGATACCATCCTAATCCAACAGAGAAAAAAAAAGAAAATGCAGTTACCTGAGAGACACTGGAAAACAGTGATTTTAATTACAGATCAGTGGGACCCTTCACACTTGCTTTAACCACTTCTAATGCCTCTCTAAAAAGGTACCTGATGGATTGAAAGGGGTGAAAGAGGAACAAATCAAGATTCTCACTGCAAAGATAAACACTGGAATCCTTACAATCAGCCTTGTAAATTATCTTCTGGAGATCTATGTTCATGGCAGACAAAGTTTTTCCTCCTTGCAGGAGTGGTCCACTTCACTAAGACACCAACTCCTACAATGGGCTTCTAGAGTTGACCTCGAGTGCAAAGAGGTACTCCCAAGTACAGTCCTCCTACCCAGACTCAAGCATGAAGAAATTCTAGAAATATAGACAAATAATTCTGAAATAGACAGAATAAGAGAATTTGCTCTTTTTTCAAGCATTCTATAAAAACTCAGACTGTCCACTGATTCCACTTTTGCTGATCACCCTCCTAGTGCCAACTGCTTCACTTTTATGTTACAGGACTGTTGGCAATGAAGTTGTATTTTTACATTACAATCCAAGCACATTGCTGGAATGTGCCAATCTGCTCAGTATTTTTCAAAATCAAGGACCGTATGCTGCGGCTATGCTGGCAAAGACTATTTTGACAGCATCCTGAAACCAAACCACTACATCAAAGACTGGCTTCCTCACAAAAGCTGCATTGTAACAACCTACAATATTTCACTAAATAGCTCAAAATATCATTCACAATAGCCATCATGGATGCAAGGCTGAAATGTCCAGTCGTCTAAGGTTAACATATTCTCAAACAAGCAAAACTAATTTGAGCAGTAACAATTACAGTCCTTCTAATTATCAAGGCAGGTCAACGTGAACAGAGGTGTCATCTTCAGATTTGAGTCAAAGGCCCAGTGCTCTCTTCAGTGCCCCACACCACAGCTCTCCTGACAATCATAAGTACAGCTTCATCCAAGTCATTGGAAGCTTGCTGCTCTATTTTCAGTAGCTCTGTACAGGTCAGATTTAAATTCTATCAGACTTTATGATGGGGAGGGGGGAACTAACACAGAATCTTCTTATTCTCAAGATTACGCCTTCATTTACACCAAAGAAAAGGTAACAAATCCATAAGAGCCTGACATACATCTTCATGCAAGATTTAATAATCATATTTTGTAAGAAAAATTGTTAGGTTTTAGATTTAGAATGAAAATTAATCTACAAACAAATGGCAGAATTGCCAGCCCAAATCATGGGAAATATCCTTTGATTAAAAAAGACCCTGAATACAAATAAGTACCACATAATGCACCTGACTACACAGAGGGGGAGAATGGAGAACCAGCACGGGAAGGTAAATCTAGAGTAAAGCATCAAACATAGTTATACTGCTTCCATGCACAAGGCAGCAAGTAGAATCCACCTGTAACTAACTTGTCACAAGACCATCAGTTACAAGACATAAAAAAATAAAATAATATTTTAAAAAAATAATCCTGGACCATTCATGTTAGAACACAGTCAAGACAACCACTGACTCAAAGTGCACTAGGATATTGATTAGAGAACAGCACAAAAACACCACGAAGTACAGAAAATACATTCTATTATATGTGAAACTAAGCAAAGCAAAAATATGGAAAAACATCTCATTAACTGGAAATAAATTAGATATAGAGTAAGTGCCATTAAATAACAGAATCTCAATTTGTAAACAATTCAGAATGTCAAAATTGCTTCAGTTACAATTCAGCCAAAAGACATGGAAAAAGAACCAGTGAACTCCAAAGACCAACGAAAGCTCAGCTGACAATACTGAAGTAACAGAGCTCATAAAACAAAAACACAGATTACATTTACTTATGCTAATACTGCATCAACCACAGCCCTTCTTATTCTAGTTTCCTGGAGAATAACAAATGACTCAGGCTTAAAAAAGCTTTCTTAACTGAAATTAATTTGCCAGATAAGCCCTGCTCATCAAAAGCAGATCTATATGGAAATCATATATAATTGGATTAAAAACAACAACAAAACAAACTGACAAAACCCAACTGAATTTCCATCTTTCTTTCATACAACTTAAATACAGCCCCAAGAAGGCTCCACAAACAAGGCTTTAAGATGTGAAAGAAATGTATCTCCATCAAATAAAAAATCCAGTCTATTCAATTTTCCATCAACAAATATCATTGTTACCTGTTGTACTAAAATGTTAAAAAAATAACACTTCACAAGAAGATTCATATTTCCCTTTAAAACAGCATAACCTACACTCAGGTCATTCATCTGAAAACAAATGTGACTTAAAAGAACACTCCTCTTCTACTAGTTTCAAGCTGCTATGTGGGACACAATACAGAAAACAACTTAATGTTCAATGCATCAAAAAGCAAATCACAGAAAGTGAAAAAAAAAAAATTGCACTGTTGCTTATGTCAAGTTATAGCAAGAAAAAGTTCCTCTAGATAAGGCAACAACATTATTGTGCAATAGTCGGTGGGATACACGTCATATATTAAGCCAAATAAGTACAAACAAATTAAAAACTCCCTCTTAAATGGCAAGTCCATATTATGAGAAAAAGCATTGACTGGAAAGGAAAGATATGCATAGATAGGTTATAGAAAAAACATAGCTGAGGAAAAAATAAAAACTGTCCTGGAGGTATGTTTGTAAAAAATTTTCAGCCATTTTGAAAATTAATATATTAATGAACTCTCAGCAGCAGTTTTTCAAACCAAGTGAACTGCGCTTTTATGTTTCTGGGCAATTAAACATCACCATAGTAGAATTGCAGTGTTAACATATGTACTATGACAGGAGTCTCAAATTCTGTCCCAAATCTCAGAAGAAAGTACAGAACAAAAACAACAACAACAACAACAACAAAAACACAAGGCAGGGGGTAGGGCAAGAAGAACATATTCATAATGGACAGAGTTAATACTCACAGTGCAATTCTTCACATTAGAACTACAGACAAATGCTACTGGCAATTTCCAATGTCAGTTCAAAGGTTGTCCCCAAAACTACACATTTAAGATGCTAAACCTGAGAAATCAGGATAAGAAGTTTCACAGGTAAGGACAGGGAATCTTGGGGGAGCAAAAAATGAGACAGAACTATGAAGTCTTAAAGAGGGGTGCTGGACTTTACCTCCATCCCTGCAAGCAAAAGTAATTCAGAGAATTAAAAGACATCAGGGAAACATCAACATAAACTCAGTCTCTGAGGCAAATTCAGGATTGTACATGTTATCTCAAGCCTACTATTGGTCTACTTGCATTAGTGCCTGTGTGTTAGAAAAACCCTTTCCAAATCATTTTCTTACAAATATGAACAGTAGAAATTATGAAAGTACTTTGAGCTGAAAAAAACTACACAGTTTTCACTTTGTAAGACAAGACAAGAACCCTGTATATTTTCCTTGAATTATGTTATATGGGAATCAGCTAGGATTGTGGAGCAGAGAAAACAGCAAATGTTAAGATCAATTTGTCAGAACTAGCCAACTTTTCATATAAAGTTTCAGAATATCCCCTACAACAACCAAAGTGTCACAAGCTAAAACCCATCTGCCCAAGAAGCGTTAAGCCAGTCTTAAGACTGCCCAGTGTTAAACAGTCTCCATTTAATAAAGAAAACATGATACTGGATTGTCTCACTGCAACAGTCTGATTCTGAGAGCCCCCAGGCCTTGTCCCTCTTCTCTGTCCTCATTTCCCCTTCTGAATTCTGCTAGTTGTTTCTATTGTTTTCAAATCTTATTCTTTCCCATTTTTTATCCTTTTGATAAAAAGGCTCCACAGAAACCACCTAACTGCCAAAGATCCCAGTCCTGAAAAGTTTTATCCAAAAGAATGAAACTATGTAGCAGCCAACTCAGTTATTTATGGGCAGATGAGGGCATCTCCACCAAAGATACAAAGAAAGCAAGCACAACTCTGAAGCAGTTACACTGTTTCTAGAAAAGGCTCATCTCCCAAAGGGCAGAATGACTTCCATACAGAACCTGAACTGACCTCAACAGATCTCACCTGGCATCACACTGAAGAGGGAAACCTTGCCATTAACTCCCTGCACCTGCTTTGCAGAAGATGTGGTGAGACATCCCAAGTGATTCTAGCGTCAACACTCACAGACTGACAGCCTGTCTCATTCCACACTGGGCAATCATCCTGATTCCACAGCGAACAATGAGATGCGTGAGCCACACTTAAATGTGAAAGCTTAACATCTTGGGTCCAAAGCTGCTCTGAACCCAGCCAGCCCTCCCGGAGCACAGCACTGCAGAGCTGAAGGGACTCCACACTGCCTACCCCACACACACAGCTCGGTGTTGCTGCACTCTGCTCCCCAGCTCTCGTGGCATCCACACTTTTCCATTACTTGTCCTATTATATCTAATTTCCTGAGCTATAGAATATACCCATGCCTGGTGTACCTAAGTGCACAGGTAGCACTGAACATTAGGTAACTATGCTAATGAAAGAACCAATGTAATTTCAAACAGACCAACACCAAACACAACAAAACAACAAAACTAACCCCTCTTTTTAAACAGTAAGGGGACTGAACTATGCTGTGAGGGATGAGACATACTGAAGCCATCTAGACACTGATTTAGGAGGGGGAAAAAAAAAAAAACCTACAAGAAAATAGAAACAAAGACATAGATACTCTTTTCAGTTTCTACTCATACTTGCATATCTGGAAGTGAAAAAAAATGGCAGACTCCTAAAGCATATACATTCGTGTTTTAAATAAACCCAGCTATGCACTTCATAATTCCGTACAAGATCCACATTCTTTATAGTAATTTT